TGTAGGTCATGGAATCAAGACTCTGTCTCTCTCTCCCATCTCTGTGTGTGTGTGCGCACGTTTGTGCATGTTAAGTGTTATAACAAGGTTTCTAATGTCAAGGAAAGAAACCATAAATCCATGTTCTACTAGAAAGTCTATACGAGAGAGATTGTAACGACATTTTAAGTAACATTTTTTCAATAATACATCATTCTTGTAGTCTTTATTGTATGCATATATACAGATCTTGTTATACCCTCATCTAGGCATCAAATTGGTGAGTTAGTACTACAGGCAAAGTCTATTTATTACTTTCCAAACATGTTTCTTATCTAACTTTTATTCTTGAAAGATACTCGTTTTTGCACATCTTATCAACCTTGAGTTATTTCAAATGGGAAAAAAATTATATTGATTTTACTTTTAGCTCTTTTGTTATTGTTGGTGATCAATTTTTAGGCTCTTGTCCCTTGTGTCCCTCCACATGTCGCGCCATCTCTCATTCAGTGTACTACAGCGTTTTTTATCTCTTAGGAATATGTTTTGAGAGAGAGAGATATGTGTAGATATTCTCTCACGATTAAACACGTGGATTGTTTGACATTAGTTAGAGGGGGAGGGAGTGATAGGTTAAAGTTTAAGCATGGACAACCACTCAATGAAAGAAATTCTATTAAAGAAACAGTTTTGATGGCAATAAAGTTCGTGAGATTAATGAACAAGTGGGAAATACTTACTATGACATAGTGGTCTTTGAGGAGCAATGCTAAAGTAAACCAACACCCCGCATTGAGCAAAAGGAAAAGTGAGAGGAAAAACGGCATGTACTCTACGCTCTTTGTCTTTATTACAGTTCTCTGAAGAAAATAAAAACAAGATAAAGATGAACATATGCTGCAAGAATGATGTCTTTTTACCAATGCAAAAAAATAAAAATGCATACCATGACAGATAAAGGTGCAGCATACATAGCTACAGTGACCGCCGCACAAAAAATTCCGATGAAGGTACGCCGGGCACTTCCGTGGAATGCTAAAAGAGTTACAACAATTACAGACCCAGGAAAAGCTATGTTCAATATGGCCACGAAAACCAGTGCTTTAACCTGAATTTATAGCATTAAAATGGTATTAGCATTGTTATGTATAAACATAGATTTGGACAATCATCGACCAAATAACTACCAAGCATACTGTCAAGCTAGAGTGTAAAAACCAAGCATACACATTACAAAAAGTAATGTTAATTGAAATTAATCTATTAACTTAATCCGCTAACTTAATTAATCACAATAATTAGAATGACGGTGAAGCACAATATTAATTGAGATCTGTTAGGAATCTAATGGTTGTGTTGGATTGAATTAGTAAATTAAATTCAATTAATATTAATAAATATTATACTATGTAAACAATTTTTATTTTTTTCTGTGGTAAAAAGTTTAAACAAAAATCATGTTTGATTGTCCATTCTACTTAATAAATTATGAAAATTAAAACAGAAAATATGGTTGGTAACTACTTCAATTTATGTCATATTTTATATCTTTATATTAATTCCCTGTTAAACAATAAATCAAAATTTATTGTCCCAATACATCCATTAACTCATCAAATAAGGTACAAATCAAAATATTAGAACCATATACGTCATTAAACATACTAATACATCTCATTAGTCAACATACTATCAAATACATACCCAATACAAATTCAAATTACGGCCATAACAAGTGAGAATCAAAATAGTGACGAGGAGTGGTTGGTAATGATAATGGCAACAAATGGTGGTGGCTAGGGGTGACAATTAGTGGCGGATGGTAGAGATGGTGGCAAGTGTTGATAGCAGTGGGTGGGGGCAACAATGGCAAAAAGTAGAAGATTGTGATAACGACGATGACAGATTAGTGGTGGCAATGGCAGTAGGTGATGGTGGCAAAAAGTGGTGGGTGGTGATGGTGACCATCAGTGGCTAAAGGTGGTTGTGTCAAGTTATGGCTGCGGTAGTGACAGAGGATAGTGGTGGTGGGGTGGGAGTAATGGTTGTGGGGGTGGTAGTGTATGTGGCGATGGTGGTGATAATGATGGAGGAGTGGTGGTGGGTGGTAAAGGCAATAGCGACGAGTGGTGGTAGATATAGTGGTGGTGGGGTGGTAGTAGGTACGGCAATGGTAGTGGTGGGTGGTCGTGGAGCTAATAGTAATGGTGGTAATGGCAACAGAGTCATGGTGTGTGGTGGGGGTGAAGGGTAGTGGCGGTGGGAATGGTTGGTAGTCGTGGCAGAGGTGTTGGGTGGAGGGTTATGGTAAAGGTGGTGGTGGAGGATAGTAGTGGCGGTGGATGGTGGTGGTAGGATAGGTAGTGGTAGTGGGAGAAATGTAGAGACTGGAGAAACGTTTTGTCAAGGTCTTATTAAGTTGAACTCAAAACATCCGTTCGTTTTCAAGTACCTTTTTTTTTTTTTTTTGTTACTAAAAACTCACTCTAAACTGAAAACATTTTCAGAATAGACAATTATGAAAACAACATCAAAAGGTTACCTAATGCATTGTCGTTTTTAATTTTCCAAAAAATTGAAAACAGAAATTGCTACCAAACAATGAGAGGGAGAGAGATTATCTTTACCTTTTTATCCTTAGGAGCGTAGATCATAAATGACTTGTGAGACGACACCCACGGAATTTACAGTGATAATAAGCAAACCATTAGGGTCAAGAATTCCATAGAAAGTCCACAAACTTTGGCACAATAGTTGAGATATATACGGAAGCGCATTGTAATTTTCTGCCGATTTTGTCTTCGTCAATTCCCAAAACATCTCCCTACAACACCAATATACCATATGTTACCTTTAGAATTAGACACCACATAACATAGTTAACTACTCTATTCTACTTTCATGATAAGGGAAAACCATTTTCTAGTCGTACATATCAACTCTGTCTATTAACTCTTACGAGTGATTTAGTAGTTGAACTTAGTTTCTGTTAATTCAAAGATCTCTGGTTCAACACTTTTCATACTTTCTAAGAGTCAATCCCCTTTATTTCTCGTGGGACATGTTCTAAATTCGCTCGGACTACGACAATCAACATCCTATCAAAAGAGAATAGTTGGTGTAATCTTAAACACATTATGGTAAAAAAAATAAAAAAAACTGTCTATTTTTCGAAGGGAATGTAATTTTTTATGAGGTTATACTTACATAGGAGAAGCACAAAGTAGGACAGAGATTACATTGCCTGAACCAGTTACAAAAATAAAGCCAGGTTATGACTTAGAAAATGTTGGACNAGATAATTGTTACAATAACAAATTCAAAATATTCGAAATTAGGCACTGTTGAATGGTCCCGGTTCATGACGCGTGTCAGTGGGTGTTTCAAAACTCAGCATCAAATAAAAAGTGCCATGTGGCACCTTTCCCTCACGATGAGTGTGCATGCGAGAGGGTGGGCGCAGAAAGAAAGCCACTAAAATCTACACTTAGAGCCCCTCAAAGAAGAGGAACATGTATTTTATGGAAAATTTTATTTCTAATCTTTATCAACTAGTTTTATTTGACTCAATAAAATTCAAGATTAATAAGACTTATACGTAGCAAAGTTTGTATTAGAAATAAGAGGACTCAACTTCTCTCTTTTCATTAATAACAACAAATAATTTTACATAATAAAAATAACACATACCTGCACCACTAAAAAAACCTTCTCCCCCCCAAAAAAAAAAAAAAGAATACCACAATTTAAACTCCACACAACTATAAAAAAATAAAATAAAATTACATTATCTACTTTACTAAAGAAAAAACCTAGGGTTAGTCTCTCATCCCTTGGTCTCTCCATAAACAAATATAAACATATAGATCATGTATGGGTGATTACTTAATTTTGTGAGATTCACTGGCTTATCTGTTCACATAATAGTGGATGGTTACACCACGTGAAATTGTTGACGTGGTGTAACCATTATATCTAATATTTTCTCCTTTTCTTCCTTTTTCTTTTTCTTTTCTTCTTTCATTGAGGGCCTTCCCTAGGGTTTACAACTTCCAAGCATAGTCTTTGTTGGAATAGGTGACTCATATTCAGAGCATGGATAGTTACACTAAGCCCACGAATATAATGGGCCAATTGTCGGGATACCCTAATTAGGATTGTAACTTATATAAGTTAAGTTGTAATCTCAATTCAATGTGAAATATAAAAATAAGGTAGCCGCTCTAAGATCGTGGACGTAAGTAACTTGTTGAACCACGTAAATTCTTATNTATGGGTGATTACTTAATTTTGTGAGATTCACTGGCTTATCTGTTCACATATTAGTGGATGGTTACACCACGTGAAATTGTTGACGTGGTGTAACCATTATATCTAATATTTTCTCCTATTCTTCCTTTTTCTTTTTCTTTTCTTCTTTCATTGAGGGCCGTCCCTAGGGTTTACAACTTCCAAACATAGTCTTTGTTGGAATAGGTGACTCATATTCAGAGCATGAATAGTTACACTAAGCCCAAGAATATAATGGGCCAATTGTCGGGATACCCTAATTAGGATTGTAACTTATATAAGTTAAGTTGTAATCTCAATTCAATGTGAAATATAAAAATAAGGTAGCCGCTCTAAGATCGTGGACGTAAGTAACTTGTTGAACCACGTAAATTCTTATGTTCTTTTTCTATTATTCTGTTTTATTAATTGTTCATTACATACACGAATCACAACAATCTCAATATAATAATCAAAATTATTTTCAATAGTTATTAGCATAAACTATACAAGTTAAGCGCAAACTGTAACTAAAAAAGGACCCATGGTTAGAATTTATAATTTTTCTTCTGAAACTAGCAATATAATGTTCAAATATCCTGGGTTGTCATCAATTGGCCAAGGGACCTATTGTGTTCATGTAACTGCAAACACCATTCTTAAAATGTTAACTAAAAGGATCAGTAATCTTTCGCTGTGCAATGTCTTCTTCAATTTCAGTATCGCACTTCCATTTTCAACATATATCATTTCTATGGGACCAAAAGGAAGGTCGAATGCGATTCGTATTGACTCATAGAATCTGATCTCATGAGTTTATTGATAGTGTATGCTCGGGATATGGATGGCTTAGGGAGGGTTGCGCTCCGACTTTTCAACTTGCCTTCATCAAATTCATTCATGTCTTGTGCTTTGATGCCCTCTTCAAGCTTGTGAATTGAGGCTTCTTTCACTTCCGTTTTTTCAGATTCCACAAGTGATGACTTATCTTTGTAAATCATATAGATGATCAGTTGGGCTGAGCCCGATACGATTCCAATTGCATTTGCCACCTGAAAAGAAGTAAGATATGATAATTTTATATACGAGATGAATAAAGATGACCCTTATGTCAAATGTCGAAGTCATTGATCAATCTTGCACATCTCAAAAGTGGAAGTGATAAGTACAGCTCAAAGCATTTGCTAGTTGTGACTTGGGATGGTCTAGTGGCACTCGAACTGTTATTTGTAGGTCATGGAATCAAGACTCTGTCTCTCTCTCCCATCTCTGTGTGTGTGTGCGCACGTTTGTGCATGTTAAGTGTTATAACAAGGTTTCTAATGTCAAGGAAAGAAACCATAAATCCATGTTCTACTAGAAAGTCTATACGAGAGAGATTGTAACGACATTTTAAGTAACATTTTTTCAATAATACATCATTCTTGTAGTCTTTATTGTATGCATATATACAGATCTTGTTATACCCTCATCTAGGCATCAAATTGGTGAGTTAGTACTACAGGCAAAGTCTATTTATTACTTTCCAAACATGTTTCTTATCTAACTTTTATTCTTGAAAGATACTCGTTTTTGCACATCTTATCAACCTTGAGTTATTTCAAATGGGAAAAAAATTATATTGATTTTACTTTTAGCTCTTTTGTTATTGTTAGTGATCAATTTTTAGGCTCTTGTCCCTTGTGTCCCTCCACATGTCGCGCCATCTCTCATTCAGTGTACTACAGCGTTTTTTATCTCTTAGGAATATGTTTTGAGAGAGAGAGATATGCGTAGATTTTCTCTCACGATTAAACACGTGGATTGTTTGACATTAGTTAGAGGGGGAGGGAGTGATAGGTTAAAGTTTAAGCATGGACAACCACTCAATGAAAGAAATTCTATTAAAGAAACAGTTTTGATGGCAATAAAGTTCGTGAGATTAATGAACAAGTGGGAAATACTTACTATGACATAGTGGTCTTTGAGGAGCAATGCTAAAGTAAACCAACACCCCGCATTGAGCAAAAGGAAAAGTGAGAGGAAAAACGGCATGTACTCTACGCTCTTTGTCTTTATTACAGTTCTCTGAAGAAAATAAAAACAAGATAAAGATGAACATATGCTGCAAGAATGATGTCTTTTTACCAATGCAAAAAAATAAAAATGCATACCATGACAGATAAAGGTGCAGCATACATAGCTACAGTGACCGCCGCACAAAAAATTCCGATGAAGGTACGCCGGGCACTTCCGTGGAATGCTAAAAGAGTTACAACAATTACAGACCCAGGAAAAGCTATGTTCAATATGGCCACGAAAACCAGTGCTTTAACCTGAATTTATAGCATTAAAATGGTATTAGCATTGTTATGTATAAACATAGATTTGGACAATCATCGACCAAATAACTACCAAGCATACTGTCAAGCTAGAGTGTAAAAACCAAGCATACACATTACAAAAAGTAATGTTAATTGAAATTAATCTATTAACTTAATCCGCTAACTTAATTAATCACAATAATTAGAATGACGGTGAAGCACAATATTAATTGAGATCTGTTAGGAATCTAATGGTTGTGTTGGATTGAATTAGTAAATTAAATTCAATTAATATTAATAAATATTATACTATGTAAACAATTTTTATTTTTTTCTGTGGTAAAAAGTTTAAACAAAAATCATGTTTGATTGTCCATTCTACTTAATAAATTATGAAAATTAAAACAGAAAATATGGTTGGTAACTACTTCAATTTATGTCATATTTTATATCTTTATATTAATTCCCTGTTAAACAATAAATCAAAATTTATTGTCCCAATACATCCATTAACTCATCAAATAAGGTACAAATCAAAATATTAGAACTATATACGTCATTAAACATACTAATACATCTCATTAGTCAACATACTATCAAATACATACCCAATACAAATTCAAATTACGACCATAACAAGTGAGAATCAAAATAGTGACGAGGAGTGGTTGGTAATGATAATGGCAGCAAATGGTGGTGGCTAGGGCTGACAATTAGTGGCGGATGGTGGAGATGGTGGCAAGTGTTGATAGCAGTGGGTGGGGGCAACAATGGCAAAAAGTAGAANCTCTGTTAATTCAAAGATCTCGGGTTCAACACTTTTCATACTTTTTAAGAGTCAATCCCCTTTATTTCTCGTGGGACATGTTCTAAATTCGCTCGGACTACGACAATCAACATCCGATTAAAAGAGAATAGTCCGTGTAATCTTAAACACATTATGGTAAAAAAAAAAAAACTGTCTATTTTTCGAAGGGAATGTAATTTTTTATGAGGTTATACTTACATAGGAGAAGCACAAAGTAGGACAGAGATTACATTGCCTGAACCAGTTACAAAAATAAAGCCAGGTTATGACTTAGAAAATGTTGGACAAATAAACGAACCAAACAAAGTCGAGGTTCCATAGAAGAGAAAAAAAATTACCTAGAATTCCGACGATGAAATCCGGAGTAGCCATGAAAGGTGGTGGTGGTGGTGGAGGAATGAAGAAGCAGTGAGGTGTGTAATGAATATAAAGAGAGACGTTGGTCAATGTCGTGGTGGTTTTGGAGAAGGTTATATATATATGTTGGAATCCATATAAATGGCCGATATTGGATGGTTGCCTCAATCTCTCATGTTTGGAACTCTAGTTTGCATTCATGTTCTTAATGTTCCTACTTCTGCCTTTACGTGATCATTTTTGTAGTTAATTTTAAGGTTTTGTTTGTATACCTTAAAACTGTGGCCTGGTTGGTTTGAGCAATAAGCTTCGACTCTCAAACTCTAATGTTATTAGAATTTAAAATTTTGATCTAATTTATTAACCTAATAATGTAATGTCATTAGAATTAGAGATTATAATTTCTTACACAAAACAAAAAATATAACTTAAAATCGACACGAAATTAGCATGTTAGAGTTGACCATTTCTCGACACGAACTAATATGTGACCCGTTAACATGAATAATAAATAGATTGAACTACTGTCAAACTCGAATAACATAAAATTGACACGATTAACATGCTAAGGAGTATCACAATCAAATGGTGTCCAAATTCTTGTACACAAAAAAATGATTTTTGTACTCATTTTGATTATTAATTTATTTAGTTAATTTTTTAGTGTATAAAAAAAGTATGAGCATAGGTTTAATTAAGCGATAATGAAATTTTAGACATAAAACTGAGTATTAAATTTTTTATTCACGGGTTATATGAATCAACACGAACACAACATAACAATAAATAAGTCGACACAACACTACACGATTAGTTAACGGGTTGAGTTAGTGTTGACTAGCGCTCGACACGACATGATTGTCACCCTTAATTGGAATAATTGGATTAACATCAAATTTCAATGTTTGATAAAATTCATAGTCAATCCAAATATCATAATAAATTAAATCAATAAATTAGATTAATCAATTATGTCCCAANCTAACTTAATTAATCACAATAATTAGAATGACGGTGAAGCACAATATTAATCGAGATCTGTTAGGAATCTAATGGTTGTGTTGGATTGAATTAGTAAATTAAATTCAATNATTAATCAATTATGTCCCAATAACGTTACTAAGAATTATTCTAACCTGTTTTTTTTTGCTTTCATTTGTGCCAAAATATTTGCGTACAATACAAAGGAAAGAATAAGTATGTGAGAGAATTCTACTGATTCTAAAGGCCATGATGCTTGAGTGTACCAAGTTTTGGGGGATAAGGAGTATCGAAGGAGGAGTAGTTTTTAATTTTGGAAAGGACCGTCCAAAGGCATAATTTTATGCTTCACCGTTTGTCTCCTTACTTTTAACTTTTAATAGCTAATGCCGATTGAATTTTTACGCTACTGAAAATAAGGTACGATACGATTAATCAACACGAATTGATAAAGAGTTAAGTGAGTTTGTGGCAGAGTATTAAAATAACTGCATAGAGACCCCCAAACTTAATAATAATAGATAAAATANTATGCTTCACCGTTTGTCTCCTTACTTTTAACTTTTAATAGCTAATGCCGATTGAATTTTTACGCCACTGAAAATAAGGTACGATACGATTAATCAACACGAATTGATAAAGAGTTAAGTGAGTTTGTGTCAGAGTATTAAAATAACTGCATAGAGACCCCCAAACTTAATAATAATAGATAAAATANCATATACGTCATTAAACATACTAATACATCTCATTAGTCAACATACTATCAAATACATACCCAATACAAATTCAAATTACGGCCATAACAAGTGAGAATCAAAATAGTGACGAGGAGTGGTTGGTAATGATAATGGCAACAAATGGTGGTGGCTAGGGGTGACAATTAGTGGCGGATGGTAGAGATGGTGGCAAGTGTTGATAGCAGTGGGTGGGGGCAACAATGGCAAAAAGTAGAAGATTGTGATAACGACGATGACAGATTAGTGGTGGCNTATCATGTTTAATAAGAAATGAAAATAAAAATAACAAAAAATTATATGGATTAGTCTTTCTTACGACTTATCGAAATCTATCCTTCTAAAATTGAGGAAAAATGGATAAAAAAATAATTATGTGTGTTAAAATGTATGTTATTTATTTTTATATCGTGTATATCTTGTCTATCTATTACGTGTTATATACATATTAATTTCATATACAGATACATCAATAAAATATGTATTTATATTTTTTCTATCCTTTCATTTTTCTCTCTTATCAAACATAAAAAAAAATAAAATTAATTCTTCTTATTTTTCATCCCTACCAAACCAAAGGGGAAAATGAATGACACTTTTCTTGAAAAATAAAAAGTTATCATTCCTCTTTTCATTCTTTTATTATTTTATTCACCATATGAAACACAACATAAGAGCCCAAATGAATTCTTGGCGCTAAATTTTGTAAATTCCAATTTTTTAGACTCTCTAAACAATAAAAAAATATTTAGTGAAGTAGTGATATCACGTCATCATTGTTACGTGATATCACCATTCAATAAAAACATAACAAATAAATAAGTAAATCCCTCATATTATAGTAATTACCTTATTATGTTACTTAAAAACCATCCAAGTAGGATTCACTTTGTCATTTATAAGTTTATTATTGAATGTTAATATCACATCTTAATAATAATGTGATGTCGTCATTACACGCAATATTTAGTCAACCCTAAAAAGAAAAAAGCTCATGTGTAGCAAAGCGTAATCTTTTTGAAGCTCCGTAAAAAAATATTAAAAAGAAAAACAAGTTCAGCATTTTCCTTTAATTGAACCAAGTTACCTTATAAGTCTTCACCTGGTCCTTACTCTGTTAGAGTAAGTGGTTAGGTGTGANGTCATTACACGCAATATTTAGTCAACCCTAAAAAGAAAAAAGCTTATGTGTAGCAAAGCGTAATCATTTTGAAGCTCCGTAAAAAAATATTAAAAAGAAAAACAAGCTCAGCATTTTCCTTTAATTGAACCAAATTACCTTATAAGTCTTCACCTGGTCCTTACTCTGTTAGAGTAAGTGGTTAGGTGTGAATCAAAAAAATAAACCAAGTGACCTTATTTTCTTTTCTTAATGGTCAGAACGTTTAGACTAATTTACGCATAACTAAACTAATCTCTTGTTTGATATAATGAAAGGCATAGATCATTTATTATTGAATATTAATAATAATGTTGATAATGTCATTTATAAGTTTTTTTTTTTTCTTTTTTTAATGGTCAGAGCGTTCAGACTAATTTACGCATATCTAANTCTAAACTAATCTCTTGTTTGATATAATGAAAGGCATAGATCATTTATTATTGAATATTAATAATAATGTTTATAATGTCATTTATAAGTTTTCTTTTTTTTTTTCTTTTTTTAATGGTCAGAGCGTTCAGACTAATTTACGCATATCTAAACTAATCTCTTATTTGATATAATGAAAGGCATAGATCATTCACGCTGGGACAAATAAACTTATGAGGGATAGATTTTTCATGACATTTCTTCAAAGAGTTACAAAAATTCNAAACTAATCTTTTGTTTGATATAATGAAAGGCATAGATCATTCACGCTGGGACAAATAAACTTATGAGGGATAGATTTTTCATGACCTTTCTTCAAAGAGTTACAAAAATTCAAATTTAACATATCTGAATTTACAGTTCATCCAAGTTAATAGTTGAACTACCCTTTGAAGTTTATGTACCTTGTTTTCTGCTTTGTAGAGCCTTATTTTTAGTAATATATTTGGGATTGCTTTTTGGCATGGATGCTCATATGGTATTGAATAATGTTATTATTTTGTCTCGGGTTTGTAATCTGATATTGTTATATGACNATTTCTTCAAAGAGTTACAAAAATTCAAATTTAACATATCTAAATTTACAGCTCATCCAAGTTAATAGTTGAACTACCCTTTGAAGTTTATGTACCT